TTAGTTTAGTCAACACTTTCTCCAAACTTCCCGTGGGCATCGTACTCTGCCGATTGCCTACCATGTGAAGGGCGCACAAGTGAGAGCCAGGCTGACCTTAGACCTTGCAGAGATTGAACAAATCATATTTTCACTTTTCTCCAAATTCTGGAACACAGGTTTACTTCTTACGGGCCCATCATTCCCATCTTCCTCGATCTGTGCCTAAGAAGGTCCCTTTTAATATTACGATCCCTTTACACTAATAACCGAAACCGAGTTCACGGCCTTTTTAGCCTGAATTCGCCACAGAATGTGGTATTTACTACGGTTGTCCTCTATTTTTTTCTATTTAAATTCGTTATAGATTTGGTTAAGGAAACAGCCCTATCCTTGTGTGAGGATAGGACCAACAATTTTCTCTCAGGTGGAGCATGCAGACGACGTTGTACTGTTAAGTGAAGATCCAGGTAAGTTGCAAGCTGTTCTGGGTAGTCTGAGTGCTAGTAAAGCATGTTTTGCATCTTCGAAGTTTAATTTCCCACAGTACTGGGTTGATCCAACTGATAACCTCTCTAACTGGGGAAGTAATGGAGGGAGTGTGCAAATTCTGGTATTTGGGCAGTTACATTTTGCCCAGCGAACGCATCACAGATGAAGGATCAGCTTGCACACAAAAGGCCTGATTGCCATTTGCCAACATGAAACATCTCTGGCACTGTTGCGACATCCGGCCGTTTGCTGAAGCAGTCTGAACAGTGCTGCTACACGGCGCAGAAACCTGGCCATTATGAAAACGGAAAAAATAGATTGTCAGTGTTCAAAATTCGCTGTCCATAACGCGCTGCACGAGTCTTGTGGGGAAACTGGACAAGCAACCTTAAGGTTAGGCGCATAGTTTGGAGTGATCCCAGTCGCCCACTGCGGTAAGTGGTTAACTTCCATTGACTACGCTATTTTGGGCATGCATAACTGATGTCATCAAATAGGTTGCCACGGGATGAATGCATGCTGAGGCAGATAGTGGATGGAAAAAGTAAAGGGTGGTAGGACTAAGATCTGGCGTGGGGGTATGTAAACAATGACAAGCAGACTTGCTCGTATAGGTCGCATTATGCGTTTTAGATACTGAACTCAGGAATAGCGTAGCCGATGGTGAGGGACACTGAGTGATATTACTAGGTATCGTAAACAGTGGCGCTCGCACATCTATTCAGTATCTTTGAAACCTCAGTGTACATGAATTATTTTCACCTTTACAATGCTTTCAACATTTCCTTGTTTTCCTCTTCTATCATCCAAGGCGATAGCAACCAAACCGCCGCAGGAAAGTGTAAGGTTAATGGTCTTTCAAACAAGAAGTGAAAATTTTGGATGCCCAACTTGATGGAGAAATAAAAATCAAGGAGCGATAGAAGAGAGACACGTTGACTAAATTTGCGATAAACTCGAGTGGGTGCACAAACGTTACTATTAGAGATTCGGTTTGTCTAACCGTTAGCGCGACTGATCTCGAGATCCTCAACCGGTAAGCTTAAGTTGCCTGATTAGAGCTTCCATATTCAAGACTTTGACTAACTTTGACTTTTGTTTTATTCATTACCTGCCTCGGCAAATAGCACAACCCGAGTGTGGTTACAAACTAACGTACTCGGTTGCATGATATCGTTTCACACGAACCTGACCTTTACTCTACTCTCATTATGACGAGTTGATTCAACGCACTTTCTTATTACAACAACTTTGTGTGATGAACAGCAAACGGGGTAAACCCTATAGTCACGAGAACGTGCTGTTCACTCATGGATACTGGCAACCTAAGTCACGGGGGTAGCGAACCACATAATAGTCCGATAGGTCATGCGTAGTATTTGACCGGAATAAGCAAAGCTGAGCCTATCCTGTGACTCACTTATCAACTTTGCCTACGCATGAACTTCGTTGATAGCTAAAGATCTCAAAATATATGAAGAAAAAACATGCTATATAGACAAAGTCTGATGGAGGAGGACCAATACGCAGAGTGCAACCCAAGTTTTGTTATTAAATAACTATTGAATATTGAATAACAGAATGGTTGATCTTAAAGTAACGAAACTATAGTGTTGTATTGTTGAAATCGATAACTTGAACATGAGCACTAAGAACTAATCACGATCGACAGATAATTGGTAATAAAGACGGCACCATGGTTAGTTTCTCACCATGTGTCTCCAGGCTGTCTTTCGGGTACGATCATTCCGAGTGTATGTGGTGGGGAGAGAGGAAACATGGAGCATGAAGGCCGATGTGGTCGAAATATAAATCCACACGCGTATGTATTTAATATTTAGAAGTGAATGGACCATAGATTATTACGAAAGTGTTCTTAAGTTGATGACTACTCCGATGGACAGTTGTCTTGCTGGTTATATGATTGATGAATGAGATCACGGGCAGCTGATCGCATGTAGCGCTCGCTTGCTGTTTACTGCGCTTTGTTGCGGGAAAGTCTCTGCAAAACACAATCAGACCACAACAAAACGGGGTAAAATGACAGTGCGAAAAAAAACTGAGAAAGGGATTACCTGCGATGTTCCGCATCGCTCAACGTGTTTGCCAACTCATCCTCGTGTTGTTTCGCCTTCTTGTACTCCGGTCTTAGTTCGGCTAGACGACGTTCCACCTGACTGATCTGGTCCCGAACACGTGACAGTTCTTCCGCAGCTCGCTCGCGCGCCGACTTTCCTCCGCGTAGTGTGGCTGAATAATCAGCAATACTCAATTGTAACTGTTCCCGACGTTGCAACACATCACTGACAGATGCTTGAACTTGTTCAACCTCGTCTTGCATTTGAGCCTCTTTGAGACGATTATCACGAAGTTCCCGCTCAAGGCGCTTCAAATAGTGGGCAGACGTAAACAACACCGTAAGCGAGTTTCGATATGTTGTGGATTAGTGTAAAAAATTTGCTTACATTTCGGTCAAACACACTACCAAAAATGGTGAGAAGGCACTTCGTGCAAATAACTGCTTATCATCGATATAGAAAATAATCAGGGAAGTATAAGNAGTTCCAGCAGGTATTTATTTTATTTCCTGTTTATTTGCGCTTGACATAAACTGAACCAACTAGAGTGTGGTGTCTTTTGTGTAAATCTATTCTAGAGTAAATGTGTCGAAATTCCGAGAGAGTAAGAATGACAATATGACAGACCACTGTGTAATGGACGGGGGTGGGGGTTCAGAGTTATCTGTGCGCCTCCAAAAGCGTCAGTGTGGTCGGGGTTGAGTGTGCGGAGTTGTGATTGGTAACTCTTTCCTTGCACTTCGCGAAATGCTCCTATTTAACCAAGCGTTTCCAATGGCCTCAAAGCCTTCCCGTGGAGATGTGTTCACACCAAAGTGAGGACGAAGAATACAACATACGGGGTTATGATCGGGTTGATGAACCCCTGACGGATTACCCAGGGCAGTTAGCTAGAAAGCCTGATCTCAAACCTAAAAAGAAGAGACATACGAACCACACACTTTCCTGGCTGTGCAGTGGTCACGCATTGATTTTTATTGGACACCTTGAGCATTTGACTCCGTCCAAAGGGCGTATGATCCAATGAACTCAAAATGGATTAAGGTTTTTACACGTCACTCCGCAGCCTTGACTAATCAAAACCCTATCCTCTTGCGAGGGTAGCGGCATAGATTTCCTCCCAAGTGGCAGACTGTCTGATCTGGAGTATGCAGACGATATTGACGATACTAAGTGAAGATCCAGGAAAGCTGCAAGCTTTTCTGGATAGTTTGGATGCTAGTGTACCAATGTTCAGTGAGAGTTTTGTACCTTCAAAGTGTAAAATGCAGCTACAAGATTGGGTTGGTCCCTCAACCTCACCATGACCTGGGGAAGTGATAGAGGAAGTAGATAAATTTCGCTATATGGGCAGCTATATCTCATAAGGCGAACGCGTCACAGATGAAGTATCGGCACGCATACAGGAGGCTTGATTGACAGTTGTCAACTTGAGACATCTGTGGTGCAGTCGCGACATTCGGCTGTCCGTGAAGGATCGAGTGTATGCAGCAGCAGTCAGGCCTGCTCTGCAATGCAGAGAGTTGGTCAATGCGAGAACAGGATAAAAATAGACTGTCGGTGTCTGAACACCGCTTTCTACATCGCATTGCGCGAGTCTGGTGGGGAAACCGGACAAGCAATACACAGGTTTAGCGTTAAGCTTTATGTAATCACGGTCGCCCACTGGAGCAACTGGTTGACATCCATAGATTACGCTGGTTGGGCCATGTGCTGCGCATGTCATCAAATAGGTCGCCATGGAGAGTGACGTTTGCCGAGGCAGGCCGTGGATGAAAGAAGGTCAAGGGCGGTCAAACTAAGACCTGATGTGAGGGTATGAAAACCCTTACCAGGAGATTAGGTCACATGGGTCCCGTTAGGCTCCCTGGACCCCGAGATCATGGTCACCGGTGGCTAGAGATGCTGAATGATATGACGGAGTGTTTCAAACAGTGACGCTCGTGCATCTATTCAATATTCTTGCAATCGCAGCCTATATGGACTCTGTCTTCTCTTTGATTCTGCTCTTTCATCTCAATGGGCGGCCAAAATAAAGCAACCAAAATCAGCGCACGAAAGTGCACGGCTACTGCTTGTGAAAACTGAAACTGACTAACCGAAGGATCCGGTTGTGAACTCACTAAGAAAATTCACCTGCTTTCGCCTGGACGACCTGGTGGTATTTTGCTCACAGGCAAATAATAGAACTTATTCTTTTTATAAAGATTATTAGACTGTGATTTGTTTGGAACACGCTCTGGTCCCAGATGTGTGTGCAGTATAATACGTGTGGGTCGATGTTAGATGAGAAGGGAGAGGGATAAGACACAATTCATAATTACTACGCCGTGGCGTAGAGCTTTAAAGTCCTTTTACAGAGGACTGGGAAATGGTACGGAGAACAGCACAGCAACATAGGAAGTGAACATTGGAATCCAAACGTAGAAATAAATGTCTGTGATGTTTGTTTTACGTATTAAAAAGAAGCGTCATGACTGCGAGATGTTCAGATCGCGCATATAAACAGCGCACCGACGACGTTAGTTCTTTTTCAGGGTAAATAAACCAATACAAAGGTGGACAACCCGTAAGAAAAACGCTCACCTTTCTGTTAAGCATCTGAAAATTCTGAGGAAGGGCATTTTTGTTTTCTTTTAATGTGAATATGTGAACTACTAGGGGAGAAGAAAGCTTAATATCGAGAAGTCAGGCGGTAGACAGCTCATCTGAGAGGACTGCATCAGTATGACAACCGTTCCCGGAGTAGAGTAATCACATGGATCACAGATTGGGTTGAACAATTTGGTGAAGTAAAAACTAACTCATCAAATGTCTGCTGGAATAGTTAATATTTGGAAGACTGAAAACCATCCTCGAGACTGCAAAATCCAAGCACTGAATCATTAGCTAATGTCTACGTGATAGTATAAGTCACCAATATTTTTACGACCCATAATAGCTATCCTGTGATATCTGGCGGATACTCGTCTGGTGGAAACAACACAAGTAGTTCAGTAAACAAACGTGTACACTAGCTGAGATGACGATGCTGGTGTACCTCAATCTGGTCTGCACAATCCTTTGCAGCACGACGGATTTCAGCGGTACTTTCACTGCTCTGTTCCCGACGTGCCTGAATTTCTTCCAGCTTCTTGCGTGTCTCTTTCAGTTCTCTGTCATAGATGGTGTATTCCAAAGCACGGCGCTCACGATCCCAATGCTGGTACTCTTTCAATTCTTTGGTTTCATTTTCCAGTGTTCGTAAACGGTCCTCGATGCTGTTAAGCAGTTCCGAAATTTGTTCCCGCTTTGCTTCTGTAGTATAGAAAAAGCAGGACAAATGTGATTAGCCCGAGCAAGAGCGTTTCCTAGTATAAATACAAACGGAATTTCACATGACAACATATCACGGCGTGCATACATACAGAAAACAACACAGAACAAACTGGTGATCAACGTACCAGATTCTTTGAATATTTGTTTACTTTCTTCCTTACGTTCGTCATATACTCGAGTACCAGCAACTTCACGTAGAAGTTTAAGTCGCTGGTGATCTGGTGCTGTAGCCAGTTGTGTGATCTGAAGAGTAGGACATTTGAAAATAATAAAAGCTCACATCAGAACTGGGATGCAATATGCATTTTGCTTGAGAAAATTTATGGAGGAAACGAATGCATTCCGAAATGGATGGCGAATTGGATGAGACAAAATGATTGCAGGTAGAATGATTTACTGACAATTTTAACTGACTGCTTTCAAGCAAATGATCATCTACCTTACCACGAATAAAACCCAAGACCAGGCTCAATGAAATAGTTCAAAAACCACAACGGAAGAAGAACACAATCCCATAATAAATCGCATGAATAGATATTTACCAAAATTGACGTCATAACTTCTAGCATAAGCAGCTCACCTTGCCTTGCTTCACTATGTAGTACGGATTGCTGCGGGAGAAACCAGCACTCTCCAACATATTCATCACGTCAGCCTTCCTGTAGAAAATGTCGTGATTGCGAGAAAAGCTTACGTAACCATTTTCTTATCAAGAAAATATTGATCTTTTTTACTTCCAATAATACGGCGCAACGAGACTTCATTTTTGTCAAACTGAATCCAAATAAAGTAGAATATTCGATTAACCTACCGGTATACGGTTATCAGAATTATCAAAAATCATCTCCACGTAAGCTGAGATAACTCTTGGTCCTGTGCCTTCGTGGAGTAAATTTTGTCGTTCTTGATTTCCCAAGTGGCTGTATTCATCGGAAAGAACAAATTGAATGGCTTGGAAAAAATTGGATTTTCCAGAACCATTACGGCCAACTAAACAAGGTAAAATCAAAGAGCATACGACATACCAATGATATTGTGGTGTGGACTGAATTCCTCAGGACATGTTTGGTCTCTGTAACTTCGAAAACCTTGAATTATAACCTTTTTGATATACATAAGGCGCCTCTAACGATGGTGTCCGTAATGTGGTTTAAGTTAGGTCAGTCAGTCAGTCAGTTTGCACAGGACAGGAGATGGCCACGGCGAATCGAGCGTCCAG